CCAACAGCCACGCCTCAGGATTCCAAACATGACGACAGTTACAGGATCTGGGTGGTCCGCTCGGAATACTAACATGCTCTGGCGGCCTCATAGAGACGGGGCTCCCGCCCAAGATTTTCTCACAGTTCCATCGCAAACGAACCTGGTGGTGGTGATGATGATGATGATGATGATGATGATGATGAAGACGATCATCAAGTGCTGCTGATGATGTTGGTGGTAATGGCGATGGGTGGGTGAGCACGTCTTGAGTGTGAATGAGTGGTGATGAATGATGAGTAAATGGTGGTGAGTGGTGTTGAGTGTTAAGTGGTGTCGAGTGTAAACGCGCGTGAGAATGTTAACGAGTGCGTGAGTACCTGGGAGGTGATGCTGGTGGTGATGATGCTGGTGAGTGTGTGGGTTGTGATGGGGATGATGGTGATGATGGTGGTGATGATGATAATGATGGCGATGACAATGATGATGATGATGATGATGATGATGATGATGATGATGATGATGACGATGATGATGATGATGATGGTGACTATGATGAGCACGGTGACGCTGATGATGATCATAATGCTGATAATGATGATGATGCTGATGATGATGCTGATGAAGTTGGCGGCGATGCTGATGAGTCCCATCAGCCTTCTGGGCGTAGGTGGTTTAAGGAGTCCCACCAGCCCTTTGGGCGTGAGTGGTTTAGCGAGCTCTCTCTGTTCTCAACCCCCCTTCTTCCCCTTCGGGGAGGGGTTTACCCCTCCCCCTACCCCCTCCCCCTGGGCCTGGAGAGGGCGCCTCGCGGGTCGTCAGGGGGGTCAATTTCGACGCCTGGGAGGGCTAAAAAACGACACCCCTCACGAGGATTCTGGCCCCGACGGGGGGAGGCAGAAAAAACCCTTTCCTTTTTTGAAGCCAAAACCATTGATTTTACGACGGTTTTGGCTCCATTTTGGCCTTCTGAGGGGGCAGCGCTCATTAAAGCTCCACTCTTCTTTCAAGACAAAATCATAAATTTTACGAAGGTTTGGGGCCCATTTTGCCCTTCTGAGGGGGCAGCGCTAATTGAAGCTCCCCTCTTCTTTGATCGAGAAGCGCCCAGGAGGCACCAAGAGGCCCCAAGATGGCCCCAAGAGGCCCCCAGGAGGCCCCCAAGAGGCCTCCAAGACGCCCCCAAGATGCCCCCAAGAGGCCCCCAAGAGGCCCCAAGAGGCTCCCCCGAGGCACCCAAGACGCTCCTGGAAGCCCCTGGGGCCGCCAAGAGGCCCCCAAGACGCCCCAAACGGCCTCCAAGAGGCTCCCAAGAGGCCCGAAGAGGCTCCCCCAAGGCACCCAAGACGCTCCTAGAAGCCCCTGGGGCCGCCAAGAGGCCCCCAAGACGCCCCAAAAGGGTACGAGGTGCCCGAACGCCTCACGCCACGAGGAGCCCGAACGACTCACACCAGGACGAGGGGCCCGAACGACTCACACCACGAAGAGCCCGAACGACTCACACCAGAAGGAGGGGCCCGAACGACTCACACCAGGACGAGGCGCCCGAACGACTCACACCACGAGGAGCCCGAACGACTCACACCACGACGAGGGCCCCGAACGACTCACACCACGAGGAGCCCGAACGAGTCACACCAGGAGGAGGGGCCCGAACGACTCACACCAGGACGAGGGGCCCGAACAACTCACACCACGAGAAGCCCGAACGACTCACACCAGGACGAAGAGCCCGAACGACTCACACCACGAAGAGCCCGAACGACTCACACCAGGAAGAAGGGCCCGAACGACTCACACCAGGACGAGAAACCCCAAACGACTCAAACCACGAGGAGCGCTTTCTCTCCCTCCTCCTCCGCCTCGTCCTTCTCCCGCTCCCACCACAAGGAGGATGTACAAGGAGGCGGGAGGAAGGAGGAACAGGGGAGATATGCGGGGGCAGGCGGAAACACGCCTGAAAAACACGACTGTCGGCATGCTTCGCAAGAGTTGCTGTTTTGAGATGGGCTGGTGGGGATACGCGAAGCGTGAAGAATTCCCTCATCCACCCCCCTTCTTCCCCTTCGGGGAAGGGTTTACCACTTATCCTTATTAATATACACCCCCTCCCACAGGCGACCGGAGCCCAACCAGGAACCATGCCGACACCATGCCGACCCGCCCTCCACCATCCTTGTCAAAAAAACAATGCAAGCCGCACTTTGCCTCCACATTTGGAGCATGCGTGGCCAACTCTGTGCGGCCCCCCCAACCATCTCTGTCAAAAGCAATGCAAAGTACACTTTGGGGCACAGTCTTGAGTCATGTTCGAGAGGCCCGCGAACACTTTGCATTTTTTGACAGGGACGGCGGGTGTGCCGGCATTTTCCCTGCCGCACACAAGGCTACCATCCCTGACAAAAACAATACTGCATGCACCTCGCGGCTAAATCTGGATCATGCGCGGCCATCCCGCGATCACTGTCAAAGTGTTTTTGACATGGACCGCGGGGGTGGTGGCGCGTGGCCTGCTGTGCGCAGGCCCACCAGACACAACGATGGGCCAAGGTTTTCGACGAGGATGGCGGGGGCCGACATGTTTCCCGATGTGTGCTGTCACGTGCGCAGGCGCACCTGACGCACGCTGCACCTGGCGCACCTGGCGCGGCTGAAGTGTGCGGCACCCCTGGCGCACTCGGAGCAAGTGGCGTATCTGGCGCACCAGGCGTGCCTGGCACGCTCGGGCCCCAAGCGTGCCTGGCGCGCGTGCGCCCCTGGCACGCGTGGCGCACCTCGCCCAAGAGTCGCGCACCTGGGGTCGGCTTTGGTTCCCAGTAGCTGTCTATCCAAAGACGACCGCTGAACATGCTCAGGCTCGGGTGTTACTTATGTGTTGGGGGGGCGGGTGGGAGTGAGCTAGACGACTTGCGGGCGGGTGAGTAGCTTGACCCCTCCCCCCTACCCCCTCGCCTGGACCTGGACAGGCCGCTCGCGAGCGGTCAAGGCGTCCAAACCGGCCTCGGCGAGGAAGCCAAAATCATAGGTTTCACTAAGGTTTTGGCCCCATTTTGGCCTTTTGGGAAGGGGGGGGGGGCAACGGTGAAATAGGCTCCCCTCTTCTTTGATCGGTCTCCTCCGAGATGGCCCCAAGAGGCGCCCAGGAGGCCCCAAGAGGTCCCAAGACGGCCCCAAGATGGCCCCAGGAGGCCCCCAAGAGGCCCCCAGGAGGCCCCAAAGAGGACCCCAGGCGGCCCCAAGAGGCCCCCCCGAGGCACCCAAGACGCCCAAGACGCCCCCCAGGACCGCCAAGAGACCCCCAAGGCGTCCCAAGAGGCCACCAAGAAGCGCCCAAGAGATACCCCAAGAGGCTCCGAGAGGCACCCAAGAGACCTCTGGCCCTTTTGCTTGCCCTCCTCCCCCTGCTCCGCCTTCCTCCTCCTACTCCTGTTCTTCCTCCACCTCCTCCTTCTCCTCCTCCTCCTCCTCCTCCTCTTCCTGCTCCTCCTGTTCCTCCTCCTCCTCCTCCTCCTCCTCCTCCTCCTCCTCCTCCTCCTCCTCCTCTTCATCCAATTTCTCCCCACCCCCTCATCCATCCATCCAGCATCCTCCTCCTTCTTCTTCTCCCTCCTTCGCACGGCTCGGCCGTCCCCCTCTTTGCTCCCGCACTGCTCCCGCACTTCCCTGATCACCTCAAGTCGCCTGGACATAGTTTCTGGACAGGCTGGTGGGGATACTTTTTGGTACGCGGGCGCGCGAAGACGAGTCGAACGCCGTGCAAGCTAAGGCGGGCCGCGACGAAGCAAAGGAAAAAACAGCGAAGCGAGCGGCGCCCGGCTCAGAGCGGAACTGGGCTCAACGCGGCCAAGATGGCGCGAAAGTCATCACAGGACGGCATCAAAGTCACGTCAATCAAAACTGCGGTACACTGGCCGGGATACTTTTTTGGTCGCGGCCACGAGACGACGGTCAGGCGGCGAAGGCAACGTCTGGGCCACGGGCGAGGCTAATTGCTAAGCAGAGCGCCGGCCGGCCCACTCAGACGGCGGCTGCAGGCTGGGTGACGCTGAACTGGCTGGCGTCTGGCCGGGACACGCGAAGCGTCTAGAAGATGATGATGATGATGATGATGATGATGATGATGATGATGCTGGTGATTATGATGATGATGATGATGATGATCATCATCATCATCATCATGATGATGATCATGCTGATGATGATGATGATGATGATGATGATGATGATGATGGTGATGGTGATGGTTATGGTGATGATGATGATGATGATGATGGAGAGGATGAGAATGAGGATGAAAATTGTGATGATGATGGCCATGGTGGTGATGATGATACTTGGAATGCTGATTATAGTGTTGATGACGATGATGGTGATGGTGGGATGGTGATGAGGATGAGGATGATGATGATGATGATGATGATGACGCCGATGATGTTGATGATTATGGTGATGCTGATGATGGTGTTGATGCTGATGCTGTTGATGACTGTAAATTGATGTTGCTGATCATGGTGATGATGATGATCATGATGGTGAAGATGTGATTGATGTTGATGATGACGATGATTATGATGATGATGATGATGATGATGATGATGATGATGATGATAATGTTGATGACCATACTGATGCTGACGTTGACGGTGATATAATAATAATGACAACGAAAATGGTGATGCTGATGATGATGATGGTGGTGATGATGATGGTTATCATGATGGTGATGATGATGATGATGATGATGATGATGATGATGATGGTGATGATGATGATGATGGGGACAGGAGGGGTCCTGCGAGGTATGAGGGTTGCGCGGAGCGTTCTGGGAAAAAAACAAGCAATTTAGAATGGGGGGAACAAGAACCCCACATTGGATGGTGGAAAAAAGTCGCGCCTCGGCCCTCCAGGGCGACCGCTCCCCGCTCCTCGACGACTCCTCCGGTCTCGGAAAGCCGTCGATCCCCGACGACTCTCGAAAAACGCCCTCGACACCCGACGACTCCCCCCCCCCCGAGGCGCGCCGGGACTCGCCGCCGCCCACGCCCTCGGAGTCTATGTGGAGGGTGAAGAGGGCGTGCGAGCGCGAGGAGTTCGTGTTCAGCGCGTGCGGCGCAGCCCGCCTCTGCTGCGGCCGGCGGCCGCGAGGGGCAACGCTGCAAGGAGAGGACCGCCGCCAGGGGGGAGCTCGAGGATCCTGGAGAGCTTCCCGGCCCTCGAGGGAGGAGGAGGGGGAGGAGGAGGGGGGGGAGGAGGAGGAGGAGGAGGAGGAGGAGGAGGAGGAGGAGGAGGAGGGAGGAGGAGAGAGGAGGAGGAGGAGGAGGAGGAGGAGGAGGCGAGAAGAGGAGGAGAGAGGGAGGAGGAGGAGGAGGAGAGAGGAAGAGGAGGAGGAGGAGAGGGGGGGAAAAGAGGGAGGAGGAGGGAGGAGGAGGGGGGGAGAAAAGGGGAGGAGGGGAGAGGAGGAGGAGGGAGGAGGAGGAGGAGGAGGGGAGGAGAGGAGGAGGAGGAGGAGGAGGAGGAGGAGGGTGAAGAGCGCGTGCGAGCGCGAGGAGTTCGTGTTCAGCGAATGTGGCGTGCCCCGCCTCGAGGCGCGGCGGCCTCGGCGGCCGTGCGAGGGGCAGCGCTTCAGGAGAGGACCAGCGCTCGGAAGAGCTCGAGGGAGGAGGAGGAGGAGGAGGAGACAGGAGAAGGAGGATGAAGAGTGGAGAAGCTAGAGGAGGGGGAAGAGGTTTTCGGCGCGTTGTTGGCGAGCGTCCCTTGGCGGCACAGCCGCGGGGAGAAAGCGCCCGATGGCACCCAGCAGGTCGGGATGGGGAAAGGAGGTAGTAACGTGTCCAGAGCTACAAGCGGTCGTCTCTGGCCGCTCTGCTGCGCACAAACTCGTGCAGACTTCCAGCGTCAGAGTGCTGTGGAACTCCGTGAGACTGGTGAGAGCGTCAGGGAAATGGTGGGGACAGGGGGGATAATGACAAGTACAGCCGAGCGCAGCACATTGGCCCGCGCACTGGTGGCCCGAGGAGGTGGCGGGAGGGACGCCGTTCTGGCTGGACCCAACCGACAAGACTCTGGCACCCGCCCTCTACACTGTCTGGATGTACGTGTCGATGTACACATGTCTACGTAATACATAGATGCCTCTGCCTATGAATGTGCTTAGGTATTCGCATTCAGACGCAGGCATTCCCAACCCAATGTTTGCACTTAGGGATCCTTGCATCTGCTCTAAGGAGCTGGGCCGCATCTTCGGTCTACCGGTTCCGTGCAGGCTGTCGCCGCCCCGTCGCCGCCTCCTCGCCGCCTCGTCGCCGCCCGTCGTCGCCGATGCATTGCGCCACATAGAGTGCACGAACGAAAAAATCGCGCAAGCGGCGCGCTCTTTGATCGCCACAGCATAGATTGCACAACATACTTTGCCCCACATATACTGCGCAACCACATAAGTTGGCCAACATTGGTTAGCAACATAGGCTGCACGACATCATTATACAGATTGCACAAACACTGATTGCACAAACTTTACTGCATAGCACGGATTGTACAAAACAGACCCCACAATCACATATACTGAAACGCACAACGTGCACAACCTAGATTGTATTTCGTAGATTGCACAACGGAAATAACACCACATACATTGCACAACCTATACTGCACATCAGATAGTAGCATCTGCTAAGGGAAATGACATTCTACCCCCATCACCCCCCCAGGGTTATCCCCTACGCGCTTCGATTGGAAATTCATGTATGATCGTGACCCGTCGCGCATTTGCCCTATGAATACCATCCCTGACCAGCCGGTATCGACCCCCCCCCCGCCATCATTTGGAAAAAAAACTATGCGCGCACACTCGTGTATCATAAACCATGAATCATAAGTTTTCAACTCAATAAACCTTTGCAACAAAAGCAATTTATATATATATATGCATATATATATATATATATATATATATATGTGTGTGTGTTAATAAAAAATGCAAAATGCACACGCGCGCGTCGTCGCGCGCGCATGCCGGTATCATTCAATAACCTTCGGTTTCGGAAAGATTTCAAAATCGAGTTTACAACCATTCTGTTCTACAGAAAGGGGGCTCGCAACACTGATCTTCTAAAAGAATCATGCGCGCACGCTTTTGCGAACCCTTGAGCAAACCATCGGTTTTTCAACATGTTGAGAAAATGCTGCCCATGCTGCCAAACGGGCTTCGCGCGCGCGCATGTCGAAATCGTGCGAACGCCCCTGCGCGCGTGCCCTCGCCAGAACCCTTTACAGCAAAATGGAACGAAGTGAACACGCGCGCGTCGTCGCGCGCGCATGCCGGAATCCCTCAAAAACCTTCGGTTCCGGAAGGATTGTTTTAATAAAAACGCTTATATGCAAAACTCATGTTATTTTATTGTTATTATTATTCTTTAACAAAAAAGTGCGCGCGCACTTGCGACTTCTTCAGAAAACCGAAAGTTGTTCAACAATTTCATAAAATGCTACCAAACGGGCTTCGCGCGCGCATGTCGGAATCATTCGAACGCACATGCGCGTGCTGGGGTGGCACGGTCCGTGTCAAATAATACTATGCGAACCACTCTCGCGCGTCTGCCGCGCGCGCATTTCGAATTCCTTCCAAAACCTTCATCACCGACGCGAAGACGCCGTCACCGTTGTCGGCGGGATCAGCATCGGCGCCGTCACCGGCTGCCCCGTCGTCGCTATCAGCATCGTCAGCAGCATCGCTACTATCATCATAGTGTCTGCCGTTGTCGACGTTGCCATGGTACCGCGCCCGCCCAAGCCGCCGACTCGCACTGAAGTGCCCGCTGGGATGTGCCGAGCGATCAGCGCCACCGCTTTCGCGTCGGTCGCGCCAAACTAGCTGCCCGCTGCGCGCGCGAGCATGCGCGGGCCAGCGCGGCCGCAGAGATGCACCTGCCAACACCCAGCACTCACCGCGATCGCTTCCGCATGGGGTTTGCAAGCCAAGCTGCGGGTGGGTAGCTGAGAGGCTTGCGCGAGCAGTGGAGTGGACAACTTCAAGTTGAGCATTGGTGAATTCTCCTTTCTGAAAACAAAATAGGATCTACCCCCCCCCTGGCGTTATCGACACCCCTTTCGGGTATGTAAATCATGTATGATTCTGACCACATGTCCATCCTAAATACGAATTTACACTATCCCAGGCCAGCCGGGCCCCCCCCCCTGAGGTTCCCATGTTAAAAACATTATGCGGTGACATGTTGTTCTAACATAACGCTTGTTCACGAATCCACTGCAAAAAAAAGGACGAAGTGCACACGCGCGCGTCGTCGCGCGCGCATGCCAAAATCCTTCCAAAACCCTCGGTGCCGGAAGGATTTCGCAATCGAGTTTCCAAAAAACATACAAAAACACAGGGTTTCGCAACACTGATTTGCTAAAAAAGCTTCCGCGCGAGCTCTTGCGAAATCTTAAGAAAACCATGAGTTGTTTTCAAGATTCTCACAAAATGCTATTAAACGGGCTTCGCGCGCGCGCATGTCGAAATCTGTCGAACGCCCTTGCGCGTGTGCCGTCGCGAGAATCCTCTGCAAAAAACGGGACGAAGTGCAGACGCGCGCGTCGTCGCCCGCGTATGCCGAAAACCTTCAAGACCCATCGGTCTCGGAAGGATTTCAAAATCGTGTAGCCAAAAAAACTACAAAAACTAAGATTTCGCAACACGCATTTTCAACAAAAGCGTGCGCGCGCGTTCTTGCGTCGTCGTCGTCGTCGTCGTCGCCGTCCTCCCTCCTCCCGCGTCGTCGTCGTCGTCGTCGCCTACGTCGTCCTCTGTCTTTCCTCGTGTTCGTCGTCGTCGTCCTCTTTGGCGTCGTGGTCGTTTCCGTCGTCGTTGTCGCCGTGGTCGTCCTTCCTCCTCCTCCCTCGTCGTCGTCGTCGTCCGTCGTCGGCGTCTCGTCGTCGTCCCTCCTATTTCGTCACCGTCGTCGTCGTCGTTGTCGTCGTCGTATTCCCTCCTCCCTCGTCGTTGTCGTCGTCGGCGTCACCGTCCTTCCTCCTTCTTCGTCGTTCGCGTCGTCGCCGTCCTCCCTCCTCCCTCGTCGTTGTCGTCGTTGTCGTCGTTGTCGCCGTCGTCGTCCTTCCTCCTCTCTCGTCGTCGTCTTCGTTGGCGTCGTCGTCGTCGTCTTCGTCGTCGGCGTCGGCGCCGGTGTCGTCGTCGAAGTCGTCGGAGACGTCGTCGGTGTCGTCGTCGTCGTTGTCGTCGGTGTCGTCGTAGTCGGTCTTAAGATGTTTTGCAAACCAAGTTGCGGGTGGGTGGGTGAAATACTTGCGCGAGCAGTGGAGATGACGACTTCACGTTCAGCAGAGTGGATTGCACGACATTGACTGCACCACATACAGCGCACCACATATATTACCCAACCTAGAATGCATCACATAGGTGGCAAGAAGCTATTTCATGCCTGCGGCGCGCACGTAAATTGCACAACATACATTGCACCATATAAATGGGACAACACGTACTGCAAAATACAGATTGGCCCACATAAACAGCCCTGCATACATCACACTGCATGAATTGCACCACCTAGAATGCAAAATGTATATAACACACTAACGATTGTTCCACTTATGTACATATATGTTACAAATCCAATGCACCACGTGAATCACACAACATAGCTTGCACTACCTGGTTCGCACACCATAGTTTGCACAACATAGATTGCACAACATGTACTGCGCCACAACGATGGCTTCACAAAGCTTGCACCACCGACATCGCACTAAGCAGAATGTACCACCTAGAAAGTACACCATGTATACATATATACATATTCAAATATGGCACACAATATACTGCGCCACAAAAAGAACACCACATGTATTGCTCCACATAAATTGTACAACCTAGAATGTACCTCAAATGCCGCAACACTGTTACTTCGCCCAACATAGGTTACACAACATGGCTTGCAACACATAGACTGCCAAACATGCATTGCTAGAAACACACCTCTGCGGGGCCACCAGGAATAGATACTCATGTATACGCATGAGCATATACAGGACCATGTAGATATACAGCCGCATGACAACGTACATAGCTACATGCATAAACGTGTCCATTCGCGGACAAATATACATA